CGCCAAGTTCACCTCCGCACACCTCATCCGCAGCGCACGCACTTTAGAGTGAGTGCGTCTCACAGAACAGCTGCGATTTTTTTCCTTAATGTAAAGTGTGTTTTGAAAGCCACGTTGAGTTAATCAGTTTTAGGAAACCAATCTGGATTACTACGCACACATGGAAAGCGGAAATCACACACAACATCAGTTGTTAAAGGTTAAAGAACGAAGTTTTAGCTAGCAGCGCGTGAGAGTTCGGGAGCTGTGGATTAAGAGGTTCGTTCTCTTAGGCTGTTTCCTCCTTTCACATGTATTTTTTTTCTTGCCTTACAGAGGGAAACCAAACTCTAAGATACAAGTAGTAAACACGCCTGTTCATAGAAGAACAAATTGTTCAAGATGAAAACAAGAATTGTGACGCTGAGCTACAAAAAAAAAAAAGAGCCTAATAAGAAAGCTCATGAATGGTTCGTATGTTCTGCAACCTTGGCAAGGGTCTAATTTGTTCATGAAAATCTAGAATCAGACTGACTTCAAGTCTGTCTTCTAGAATAAGTTACATTAGTTACATACTAATCCTCTCCCAACAGTGAAATTACAGTTCTAGCACAGAAGAGCCCAATTTAAAAAAAAAAAAAAAAACAACACAAAAAAACGCAACACCAGCCCTCATTTCTCTATGCTGGTATCTATTTCAGCAACTAGCACTCAGATTTTTCAACAGCTGCAGTCCAATATGGGCATTGCTATGGTCTGGGATTTTCTTTCTTTGTTGGTTTCTAATATACAGCTGCCAAATCTGCATTTCTATAAAGGTATCTCACAGATAGGACTTAATTAAGTAAATTTCTGATGGAAGTTTGCAAACAAAACCCAGGCTGTTAATTATTTCTCTGCCAAATTGTCCAGACCTCCATATTTTGTGATGTTGCTTTCAATATTCTACTTCAAACAACTTTATTTGCTTCTTCACTTTTCTTCTGAAGCCTGCTAATGCAAATTGAGGATAGTTTCAACCACAGCAGTCTCTCTCGAAAACAGGACCTATGGCCCAGGTGGTCAGTGCATTAACAGCTTTGGAAAGTCACTCATTTGTGCTGTATTTACACTGCATTTTTCTCAGTCTTGACAATGAAAACTCCACCAAGTAATTTCCAATTTTCCTCCTGGCAACTGCATTTTCAGTTTCCCACAGTTAAGTCAGTCAGCCAACAGCAAAAGAGAACTGGGCATTAAACAGCTGTAACTGAAGTGGGAAGTTGCATGTTTCGGCAAAAGTAATGTTTAAAAAAAAAAAAAAAAGCAGCCTTATGTGTTCAGAACCAAAGGGAAAATTTGCCTTTTTACATTCAAAAACATCAAGTTGTCTGGACTGACAAACACCCATGTGCTGCTACTCCTGACCAATCAGGATACCCTCTGCTACCCTGAGAAAAACAGGTTTAAAACTCAAAAGCACCCAAGCAAGACACAGACACAGCCTCAAATCCTGGAGAAATCAAGCTCCGCTGTCTTGGCATCACTCTAATATTACAAAAAAAGTCAGAAGCTTCAATGATCAGAAACTGCACCACATGTAAGCCAGTTTTCAGAACCAAGTTTGACCTCAGGAGGGAAAGCCTCTACGGGAAGTTTAAAAAAACCCACCCTTTCCCTATTTGAAACCAGCAACTTCAATTTTAATCCTCGCAGAAATAGTATCACACCAGATACAATTATAAGTGGGCAGAATTTACACCGTGAGACACAAAAGCTCCTGTCAGAGAGCACTACCACAAAGCACTATTTACATGCTTACTTTACCCAGTCCCATGGCAGAGCTGGCATTTTCAGACATGTGCTTTTCACTGCTTCACTCTTCCCTTTTACGTGGCATTAAATCAAAATAGATTTTTGAAATACCGCACATCAAGAGCCTGCCTTTACACCAGATTTGCACAGCAGTCCAAAAAATTAGTAGCAATTTTCAGAAAATTTTAAAGCCCACTAAACCCAGCATTATCCCATTCCAAGAGTGCTATGTAACTGAAAAAGAATATCAGCTAACATCTGCAAAGACTCTACCTTAAGACCGTGAGTATTTGACAGGTATAAGCTAGCTCCAGAAGTCACCTGCCCTCATACAATACAGACAAGAATGGGGGAAATGGCAAAATGGGTTGAAAAACAGGGCATGTTAGGTGACTCATCAAAAAGCTGAGGTGTCCCCAGATTTAACCTCTTTGAGAATTCCTGCATCCTGATTCAGGTCTGAACCAATTCTGTCTTTCGTTAACCCCACAGTAGTACGCTAGCATTACGTTTCACAGGAAGAGATGCTGGTTAAACTGTATGTATCTGTCACACCTGCAGTTCTGAACTGCACCTTGTGATACATGCTGCTGTTGGAAATTTCCTAAGAAAACAGTCTCTACTGGTTAGGAAAAGAAATAAAGGAACAAATGAACTCGAAGTCAGCGGAGACCTAAATGCCATCTCCTGTCATCCAAGGTTAGTGAGAGCTTAAGGAATCATCAATCACTTATTCTTGAAGGGTGGCTGTTGTTTTAAAATTAAGATGGAGAGAAATGTCTGAATCCTTTATCCAATGTTTGTAATTCAACAGCAATATGCAGACATGAGCCAGAAGGCGGAAGCTTGGGACTGAAGCAGTGTGGCATGGGGAAGAGGAACTCGTTTCAAGCTTTGCTGACCAGATCTCATTATCATTTGCCTGCAGACAAATACTCAACAGCTCACCACCTCAGCAACGAAGTGCAGAGTAACTACATCCAGGTTACAGTTGAGACAGACTCACCCACCACTTCCAAAATAAGTGATATTTCGAGTGTGAAAAGCACCAGAGCCAGACCACTGAAATCAGAAGCTTTAAGTACCGGAATAACTTCCTGGGTCTCAAGAGAACACATGCAGGAATTCACTTTCCACATCCATTTGATCCTTTGTTTCCTGTTTTATCTGCAGTAAGATGCATGTTAAGAGGCTTGGGGTTACGCAGCAGCTTCACTCCCAGAATGCTTAAGAGAGCAAGAGAAAAAAAACAAACCTCCCAGTCCTTCATCCAAAACCAGCACTTCCTCCAGCCTTGTCAAGGTCTATATTGGACAATCGAAAGGTAAAAATAACAGCATCTCTATAGGCCCTAACGTAGCTACCTCAGTTCTACACAGATAAAGTCAATCAAAGCCCTACTGGAAAAGACTACCAGCAAGTGCTCTCTGATGGGAAAAGGAGCAATCTGGCAGAGTTCATGTTCTGCATTTTATGTATTTATCAATGACAGAATGGTGACAACTTCAGAGTACCAAGTCTCCAAACTGTAACTAAAAATCAGAAAATAAGTTGTCCATGAAACAGAGGGTGTATGAGGGTGGTGAGGCACTGGCACAGGTTGCCCAGAGAAGCTGTGGCTGCCCCCTCCCTGGAAGTGTTCAAGGCCAGGTTGGATGGGGCTCTGAGCAACCTGGTCTAGGGGAAGATGTCCCTGCTCATGGCAGGGGAGTTGGAGCTAGATGATCTTTAAGGTCCCTTCCAACCCAAACCATTCTGTGATTCTACGATTCTAGGAAAAATAAAACCCACCCCAAGCATGGAAAAGGTGAATGTCAATCTAGAACACAAGTACAACAATGCTGCTAACTCATTACCTGAAGTATCAGTCCAACAAAAGCTGCAGAGCTTTTGTGAAAAACAGAAAATTCTCCGTGTAAAAATTTCTTACTATGAGTGACACTCTAAGAAATATATTTGCAAGTGCCAGCAGCAACATCTATTTCGCAATTTATGAAGGGCCTCCTTTAAATGAGGCTGCCTTAAGTCTGACATGAAGCAAGTCACCTTTTCCAACAAGCAACAGCTATCTTCCTCTCTAGCCCAACTTTCACAGCATAAAAAACTGAATGTCTTTCCTGACTCTACCAGTGGTTATCCTAAAACCTCCTGGCCAGCATCTCAGTGACAAAAGCTGCTGCAAGCTTCCCTGAGCAATCACAGTAGCCCAAATCACACACCTCAAAAGTGCTGAAGAGCTCTGTTTATCCATCTTTCCCTCACTTCAGGACTGCAACTGCTTCTGCTCCTGTGCTCAGTCTGTTACATTTTTACGTCTCCAGAAAACATTACTTTCATCATATGCCATGGGGTCCCCTTTTGTCCTCCCATTTTGCTTCCCCCTCACACCAGCTGTGTATGCAAAGCAGAGGAGACACAGAACAAAACTGTGTTCTGACCAGAAATCTGCTGTTCAAGCCCCGTGACGTGTAACTTATCAAAACAGCCAGTATTTTTTGCACCAGTAAGTAGGGTCCTACTGGATTTCAGTACATGTAACTGTGGTGGATTGACTGTGCCCAGCTGCCCAGCCAGCTGCGCTCTCACTCCTCTCCTCAACAGGACAGGAGGGTGCAAGATGAAAATGGTCGTGGGCCAGGTTAAAGGCAGGGAGATCACTCACCAGATACCATCAGGGCTATAACAGGCTTCACTAGGAGAAGGCTGGTTTACTGCCAATTAAAGCAGATAACAGCAAGAAACAAATTACGACACCTTCCCCCCACCCCTTTTTGAAGGATTTACAGGATCCCTTCATTGCCAACTCCTCCCACCTTGAGGAGTGCAGGGGAACGGAGGCTCCTTCTGGCACCATCCACCTGGCCACAGCCCACGGAGGACCCCGTGCCCAAGCACAGGCAGCAGGGGAGTCCCCGCCCCAGCACCTGGAGCACCTCTCCTCCTCCTCCCCCCTCAGTGCATGTGGGGCTGTTCCTCTCAGTTTTTCCCCTCATTCCTCTCACTTTTTCCAGCATTTTTCCTCTTTCTTACTTCAGATTGCCCAAGGCACCATCAGCGGGGCTGAGGGGCTGGGCTGTGCCTCGCCCGGGGTCACTGGAACCAGCCTGGGGCAGTGCAAGCCTCTCCTCATAGAGACTCCTCACCCCATGGCACCTAATAGAGCAACTATTAAAGCAGAGGGTGCAAATAAAGTCCTTCACATACGAACCCATGCAGGGCTCTGACAAGACAGGACCTCTTCATTCCTCTGACATGGACACCTACCGCAGTCCCTCATGTGGGCCTGAGGACAGCAATGGGTCAGGGAGAAGACCTCATGGCAGCCCTTAATGCCCACAACACCAGCGAAGAGGGATCCTGCTGCTGCCAGCACCCAGGTGCAGCAGGCATTTGAAGACATTTCAAATGTCTTCTTCAGCATCTTCCCTGGCTTCCTCAGAAGCCTCCAAAGAGATAAAAATGGGCCAGTCTGGCATCAGAGATCTCTGCCTGCATCTCTCACCCCCTTCTCTGCCACCTCCATTCTCCTGAGACATCTGGACACCTTAGTCTGCTTCCATGATTTCCCATTGAAAAAAGTCTCAATCTTCCTCTGAAATTGAGCCCAACTTTAGCAGGGATTTGTTCAACAAATCACTAACCCTGTACGGAAGACCACCTCCAACTTTTTATAACAGTCTCTGGATATATTTGCATAGTAAATATTATTAGGTGAAGTATTTCCTTCAAGGCACACACTGTGCTTCTGTTAGAGCCTGGTATGCAGTAAAACAGCACTTGCTCTCACTAGGGTAGCGCTCACACCACACCACTTTGCTGCCCTGCAAATCCCCCACATTGGGCCCGGGAGGGGAGCGCGCTGGGGAAAGCCCTTGTGCCTGGGAGCTGCGTTCCGGCAGCTCGCCTGTGGCAAAAGCAGAGAAGTCTCATGCCCCTGAGCACAATTTTCTCCCCAGTTTCCAACAAGTCCAAATGGCTGCCTTTTTAAACCATACAGCTTGTCTTGCAGGACCCAAGCACCTGCCTGATTAAATCTGACTGGCTTGAACTCATTTCTTCCTCTTTGCCAGTACGCCCTTGCTCACGTCCCACTCAAAAGGTCAGATTTTGCCCCGAAAAGAACATTTCGCACCCATTGCCTCCACAGGGCAATGATTGTGTGGATGAAGGTCCAGCAAACGAGAACCCATGTGAACTGCAGTGCTGCTCCTCTTTAGTTTTGTTTTTCTTTTTTTGTCTTAAAATCAGGCTGAGATGGACACAAAAAAGGCAATGCCAGTAAGATGTGGGAAGTGTTAATCTTTGCATTTGGAAGCATTTTGTACGACCTACACATTAGCAAATGGTCTTGTTCCTCCCTGAATTTTCTCTTCTTCCAGCATTAGTACAGAGCTTCATCACATCTGCTAGGAAAGGAACATAAACAGGAGGTGAGCTATAAATATTCCCTTCTCATCCTGCTTCCTTTGCCCATCTGCCTAAAAAGAAACAGGTAATCCATAGTGTCCAGGAAGGGGTGGGGGCAGGAGGAAGGAGATTCATTCTTTGCAGAAAAGGAAAAAAGGGATGAAGCAACTTGCTCTTCGTTCTTCATTGCACCTTTCTCCCAGGCATTACTGCTGCTGTGGAGATGCTGCAACCAGGAGTCTTCGAACAGAAACATCACTGCTTTTGATGACTTTGACAGAGCCTCGTGGGGGCAAGAAAGGGAAGAGCAGGTAATGAAACAGAAAAAGTTTAACAGACATGTTAAGCACATTGGTCCAGCAGTCTCTACTGCTTTTAACAGATGCTTCCCTTTGCCACCATCCACACCACTTTTCCCATAACAACAAACTAAAACAAAAGCCCAAATGAAAACCTCTTCTCTCCATTTATATTCCCGAGTTTATTGCAAGCGTCAACAACAAAGAAAATTATACTATTCCTACTTTACTTGAAATAGATGATAACCACGGTACACCAGGCCACCATATTCCCCCTTTCATCCAAAACTTCACACAGTCCTTCCTACCTCTAGCAGGCAACCCAAAGCGGGGCTGGAACATCTCCCTTTCAGTTTGTGGTGCCAGATCACAGTTTCACTATGAAAATATTTCTGCTTTACTGGAGTAGGATGGTTTGAATTCCATTTCTTTAATACAGCCCTCGAGGTTACTGGAAAAAAGCTGAGAATTTTACTTCCCTTGCATTCTGAAGGCTTGAAAAACAAAAACCAAACAAAATACCATGATATATTTAAGCCTGTGTCAGCTTTGAAACCTGAGCACAAAGACAAGGCACAGCTGAAATCCTTCTCCTCATTTCCAGATTCAGTACTTGAAGCTTCCTGCACTGAAAAGGATGGTACCTCTCTCCTCAAACTAAAGGGGCTACCAACCCTGGTTTAAAAGGCAGTTTGAAGAATTTAGTGAGTTCTCATCCCACTGATTTCAGGGTTCATGATTTTGTCTTCTTCAGCCACTTACAGCTGAAAACTGTGTAACCAAAGAGAAGGAAACAGGCGGATTCCTCTCAGCGATTCCCCCAGGGCAGCCAGTGCTGTTTTATTGTTTGGTTTTTTGCTTTTCTTCCTCTAGCACTTATCAACCCCATTAGGCAATTCCTTTTGTCTGTGTTAGAGCCAGTTTAAAAGAAGAGCTCTTACCCTCTTCTCCCACCTCACTGCCCTACTGCACAAAGAGCCTCCTCATGAGGAAAGAGCAGCTTACGGACACATCCCTGGCACTTACCATGAAGAATGAAACAATACGCAGGACTATGAAGTGAGATTTCCACAAGTGCAAGGAAATTCTTTCTGCCTTGGTGCATGCTGGGGAGCAGCCAACTCGCACCGGTTTTCCAGGGAAATGACCTCAGAAACGAGATACCCTTGCTTTCAGCTCTTGAAAAGAAACAGCAGGCCCTCGCAGACTTCAGAGTCGGCGCCAGCGTACGTACAGCTTCGGAAAAGTTGCACGCTCTGAAATACAGAGAGGTTCAACATTCTGCAAGCCACAGCAGCCCACTACATCCTAGTATTGGGGGAATCCTACACCATCAATTCCCAGCTCATTTTTCTGCAGGAAACACCACCGCAAAAAAAAAAAAAAAATCTCATCTATCTAACCTTACCTGAGTTTGGTCCAAAAAGGGAACTGGTGGAGCAGAAATGTAGCGGTCCTTGCGGAGGAGTGCCTCGGACACTAAGAGGCAATCCTTCTGTACCCACAAAGTCGCATCAAGTCAGTCCAAGCATAAAGACAAAAAGTAGTCCCTTCTCCCAAATTATGAGCCTTACAGGGTAAGCTCAGAGACTGAATTAGCTTTGGGATTTAACCCTTTACAAGGCACTTAGTTGGGGAATTTAAGAACTCTACATTGCAAGTTTAAGAACTCATTGCCCAGAAGTGCCAGATAAGCCTTACAGAAACTCTCACATTCAGAAGTTTAGGTTCTAAGACAAAGAACACAAGTTTGATAAATGGCTACAAATATCTGTGCCCAGTTAACACTGGCCAGGTTTCTTACGTAAGATACCAAAGCATAGGATGTTCAGCTTGGCATGCTGCTTCGCTTTCTACAGTCAGTTTGCATCAGTTCACTTCCAGGTGTGCGTGCTACAGTAAAATTCAATCCTTTTTCTAGTCCCACAAACATCTTCTCATGAAGCCCTGGAAAAATCTCCATTTAAGGGTGCAAGCCTGACATTTTTCCCCTAGATATGCTATCTGCCATAAGGATTGCTACTGTGCATCTCTGATTTGTAAATCACTTCTGTTCCCTGGCAAGGTATCGTCATATGAAAGCAACAGAAGAAAATGAAAAAAATTCCAACAAAAATATATGAATATTTAAAGCCTTTAAAGAGCATTGTTTCATTATACTAACAGACCAAAGATCAAGGAAACTTACATGCAAACTTAATATCCCTCTATGTTGATATTTAATAACTTTTAGTCAATGATATATACCTTGTGCCTGACTGTTTCACTGGACAGCCTCCCACCTCCACCTGCGAGAGGAAACAGTGCAATGCTCACCTACTGTGCGCCATCGGTATGTGTCCAGGGAAGGCAACTCCGCCAAAGTCAAGCGCAAGTGAAGGGCAGCGCTCTGCAGAGGCTGATCTTTACCGACATACTAATGAAGTGCAGTAAGAACACAGACATGCTTATTTTGAACCTGACATTTAAATAGCACATTAAATGCAGTTTTGAAGGTTTCCCAGTTCAGCTTTCATCAGCCCATCTCACCTGGCCACTCTGCGAGAGGCGGCGATAGGAAATGGGGGTTGAGCCCTTCCATACAGCAGAAGGCACAGCCGTATGGTACCCTGCAGCATTCCATCTACGGTTTCAGAAACGCAAAGTTCACAGCAGTGTTGAGGAGCTTGGGAAATACTGCGCTACAGTTCCAGCCTGGCTAGGGAGCGCACAGAAGAGCCACTTTGGTCCAGCTCCTCTGGAGATGGCAAGGATTTATCATCTGTGGGACTGCTCCCCAAAACACCCTGCTGCCAACCCTGGCAGCAAGTGGGTCTGACTGGAACTCCAGTGCCTGCACCAACCAGTTCATCATCAGTCATCTCTGGGAAGACAAGGAGGAGACCCAGAGATCAAAAGGTTTTTACTTAATTGACCATTGATCAAGGGAATGACTGTAACAGCATCTCCTAGTAGCACTCACTAGCTCAAAGCTATTAATTTCGGCATCTCCTGCACAGAATTACTGTGCTACAAAACTGAACAACATACACTTAAACGCATGAAAGCACGACAGAGGCACTAACAGCTAATCAAAGTTCCAGGAAAGCTAATAACTGAAGTTGATCATCTCATCTGATAGCCAGAGCAAGCTCCGTCACATCCATCACTCCTCACGAGAGGCTGAGCACCCTAATGCAGGGCTGCTTCTCCCCATCAGGTGCCACCGCAGGGCCCGCGGCCAGGGCCTCGTCAGCACCCATCACTTCTGCCACTTCCTTCACCTCCCTCCTCTGCCTTCGGGAAACTAGTTGAACCGGGGTTTACAGACACATACACTACACACAAACACACCTTTTGTTTACATAATGATTAAGTCAATGCACCCGAGTTAAATCACTAGTTAAAGAACCTTAAAGAAAAACAGACCAAAAACTTTCCTACACATTTTCAGTGGTTATCAAGTTACCCACTGCCAGTACACGTGATAAACCAGGATTACAGGGGAGCATTATGAAAGGAGCTCCCAAACATTTGGTTCCGTTTTGTTTTTTGATTTAAAAATACTATTTTCTACTAATTCTGTGCCATCCAGACCACAAGGATTGTTTTACTAAGATTTTATTTGAAATTTTTCAGACTGTTTCAGCTCAAGTATTTTTCTTTTCTTCTACAAATTCAGAACATAACATTTGCTGTGTTTATACCTCTACCCATCTAAAAGTTTTAAAGTTTTTGCCACAGAAATTGTTGCAGCTTCATCCAAAGAATAAGACACAAGGAAGATCCAACACAAAACAAACCAGTTTTCAACAGCCAGTCCTAAAAAGCAAATTATAATTGCTTGCCCAATTATAATCTGTAAACTACATATCAGAGACATGCATACTACAATGGGTTTGCAGTTCATGCTTCTTTCCAATATGAACACTGAGGCTTAATTCATATCCAGAGACTGAGAAGCCCCGGAAACAAACCACTAGAAAAAAAAATAATTACCATTTTTCTAGTCATTAAGACCACTTAAGAATCAACAGTCCTGGGGAAATAGATCATTCTGGAAGAGGGGGATTTGGAATGGAGAATAACAGGAGATCTTTGGCTAGGTCACTTCCTTAAAGCTTTTCCAAATCAATTAAACTGTGTTTAATATATTGTACAGGGTTCAGTGGCCGAGAAGGCAGTTCACAGTTTGGCCCCGAATCACAACCTGTCAGAGACACCTTTACAGTTTGTGTTTTATCTGTCAGGTAGTTAATGAAAATTGAATCATTCTTCTCAGGAAAATTAAATATACACATGAAACAGAGCAAAAAAGCCTCTGCGGAAAAACCATGGAGGGACAGGCATCAAGATAAAGACTTCAGAACATACGCTTTCGATCCAAGCAAGGAGGTTGCCTCAGCTCTTGCAGAATAGCATACTCTCCACACTTTCTTTCCAAGAACCTTTTTAATGCTTTTTCACTGCAGTAAATAGGCCTGGGAATCAGGACTTTTCCTTTGATCCAATACTAATTACTACTTAAAAATTCTTCCAACCTTGAATCCCAGGTTTCTTCTCCTCTAAGGGGACAGTCTTAAGAGGCCAGAGAGCCCCCTTCTGCCACCACACAACTGTTCCACCTCACACACATCCACAGCCTGTGCTAATGCAAGTCCAGTAAAAGCCCCTGCAATTTCCCAGATACATACACCTCCTCCTGACACCTCCTCCTGACAACTTCACCCCCTGCCTTGGTGTCAGCCAGTGAGCAAAGAGCCAAATACCTTCCCCCTACAACCAGCCAACTGATGCAAGCAAGTTGTTGCAGAACAGCCACAGCACTGGAGACAAGTTACACTCCATCGTGCTGTCCGCACTACAGGAACTTCACGTGTGCAAGCGAGAACAGGCTAAACACACCAGAAGATTTATCAAGACCTTCACCAGGACCAGTCAGTCAGTTTGGGTCATTCCTTAACCAGAAAAGCTGAAGTCCTATACACTAAGGATGCCATCATCTTAAAGCAGGTCGAAGTTCCCATCTGAGTCTTGATGTAGTCTTATTTCGGCTGTATTGACTAAACAAATAATGGAGAGAGCAAGTTTCCACCACTGACATACTGGTAGGACCCTGCTTTATTTTCCAAGCTTGTGAAACCTGCTGGGTTTACAGTTCTTCAGTCTTCTACTTGCATCGAGGCACAGTTTGCCATCATGTCCAAAATATGCATCAACAGACTTCAAGATCCAGATGTAAAGGAAGAGTGATTCAGGGTTATGACTACTTTACAATCACTTTCTTTCATCCCTGCCTGCTTATGCTACTTCACTGATGGGTGAACTGGATCAAAACAACTTGTAAGTGAACCACAATTAGCTGTCACAGCTGCTACTCGTGATTATTTCCAACTGCATCTGCTAAAAGCTTGCACGTCCAGAAATTTTCTCATGAGACACTGAAAGCTAAATCTTCTTTTCACTGTTGTGGTTTTTTTTTTGGTGTAGACAAAGCTTATTACTAAAACAAGACAGAATACAGCAAGACACTACTAGCTAAGAGTTCAGGTACCAGGCCCAGACACTTCCAACCAAACAATTTATATTTGCAGAGACCAAGTCCCCTGACAGCACTCAAACCAATTCAGATAGCACGCCAAGTTTTGGCTTTCTCGGCACAGCAGTGAAAACACATTAGCCATTGAGAAAGCATTAAGAAAAGTACTGAAATCACTGGCTATAAGCAATGGAAGTGGCTGTCCGGCTGAATACTAGGCAATTCCGTAAAAGAGCTCTAGATGCAGAAAAATCAGTGGGAAAGCAGACCACTGTTTTAGATACGCAAACCAGTAATACTTACATCAATTCCAGATTAAATATCAAAGATCACTAATTTCTGAGGGAAAACAGTGATGATGGAAACCAAAAACATGCACAAAGCATGGCTTGAAAAGCGGTAGCTAGCATGGTCACAGAGCAGCAAAACGGAAGGAACAAAGCTCAGAGCCCTGCTACAATGCTGTGTGGCAGAGCAGGACACTGCACCAACTGCAAACAGTACTGTTTCAGGAATATGAAAACACAGTAAATCCACTCAGTCAGAGTACATCCCACATGGATGACAAGAAGACGTGGTTTGCCCACAGACAAGCACGATTTCTGCAGCAGCATTTAGAATAACCTTGTGCTATTGTCAATAAGGAGGCTGGAGAGCAAACCAAAATCCTTTCACCTTGCCCTTTCTCACAGCGGGCACAGTGCACTTCAGTGTTTTGAAGCTGATTTAAAAAGGCAAAAGTCTCATCTCTACGTTGTGCTCCTGTAATTCAAGAACATAACTATTATCTTGGAAAAAAAATTAAGCCCAAGTTACAATTGCAAGAGTTGGAATATAGTCTGTGAAATCACGCATGGGTGGTGGGCGACTGGCACACCCTCCTCCTCTTGGGACAAATTTCTGTTCCACATTAGAAACCAAGGAAGACTCATTCCAATATGCCTACAGACAAGAGCAACAAGATTAATTAAAGTTCACCAGCTATTTTGGTGGCACTGAGAGGTTCTCAGCATGCAACAGCTAAGAAGGTATTTATGAGGCTAAGCTGTATTGGAAAGATGGGGAAAAACATTGGCCTGTTCCAGCCTTTCTGAATGAGACCATCACCAACCATAAGTTGTCACTAGCCCCTACTTAAACCAGGAGGCTACTATCATCATGTACGTTGCAAAACACAGTACTTCAGCTTCTTAATTAATAACCATAATGAAAAGATACAGTAACAGCTTTACAGGCTAGAATGTAGTCTGTTAGTGGCCACTGGTTTGGGAACACCCATAAGCGAGACCTGTTTTATTTCTCACGGTAGGTGCAACTTGCTATTAATACAGGCAGTATATATTTAACAATACAGAAGTAAGTTTGATAGACCAACACTACACAGTAATAAGTCTGATCAATAATAACTGCTGTTCTCCTCGTCTTCTTCCTTGCTTATTGTAGAAAGGGAAGACAGATTTAAATTTAGAGCATTAAATTCACTGAGTTTAACACCATGACTCTCTGGATTACCAAAGGCTTGCCAAAACCTCCATCCTCCAGACCACTGAAAAATTCAAAAGCATCATCTCCAAGACCACTGAACAACCACCATCCCTTTGGTTTTGGGGACTTGTGGGAAAACCCATTGACAAGTTTGTAGGAAAGCATGTGGCAGTTGAAGGACTTCTTCCAGGAGAGGGAGTTTTCCCACACACATTTATTATTCTTAACTCAGATAACTTGAAACTCCTGTTTTGGAATTCTGCATCTTCCAGACAAAGTCTTACCTAAGGAAGATTAAATACCTGGTTTCACCAAAGCAGCAAGATCTCTAGGAAAGCATCCTGTACAAATCACTCCTCTTACCAAAGTGTCAGATCTGTATATAGTTTCCCTGGACAGAGCCAGCTCCCATGATGTTTAAATGCCCCGAATCCCCCCAGAAATCACAGCAGAAAATTAGAGCACCCCTCGTCCCTGCTGGCTGAAAGCCACGAGCACGCAAAGCCAACTCAACTTCATGCCATGGTGCTGTTACTTCACTGATCCCCATTACGGGTGTCGTTGGCATCAGGGTCCCCTGCTGCACACCAGGAAGCTGGCATTCACTGCAGCAGCCCCTGCGGACATTTCTTTCACAGCCACCCCAACACTACCAAGTCACAAACAAGCCCCCGCAGTTTTGTAGAGGTCCACCTCGTATCCTTTTGGGTACTGGGAGATTTACAGTGTGGTGCTGTTCCAATTGCCCCACTATCCCCTATTTAAAAGAATTGCACAGAAGAATCAACACCTCTGACACCTGCTAGTTTAGGCAGTAGCTTATTTCTGGGTAAGAAAAAGAAGTATTCATAGACTTCGTATAAAAGGAAGTTAGAAACATAAACAGAAAGGAAGCCTGAGTAGCCCAAAACATATTTCAGTAAGCTTTCCCACACCATTTTCAGCCCAGCAACAGGTTTAAAATGCTGCTTCTGATCTGGCTAGAGGAAGCTCACACAAAAGTGTCAGGCTCACCTTAACAGGGTGACATGAACTTCCTTTTACGCTTCAAACCTTCCTAGAACTGCATTTAAATGCAATCTATTTCCCTGCTTCCCTCCTCCCTCCACAAGCTAGGATTTCTTTGATTCTCAATGCAATTAGGAGATAATTTTAACTCTGTCACTAGATTGATTGCACTGGTGCTTAACTGCACTATTAAGCAAATCATTAGCTGACATGTGGTATCTTTTCCATCTG